GTCACTTGGTCGGCCCCTGCATTACTTTTAAAATAAGAAAAAAGTTTACTAAAAGGAAGTACACAATGTGCAGTGAACTAAAATCTTGAAAACATTAAGACATACTCTGGCCAAAGACAAGAAATCCCTTTGGTTTGTTTACAAAGTAAAAGATCCAATACACAGATGTATTCATTAACTTCCCGGACACTCCCTGAATTCACATGGTTTTCTGCCACAAGCCCATGTGAAATTTAGTACTATTTAGCTATAGGCATCAAAAAAAATGAACAACATGAGGCAAATTTGGAAATCCCAAAATATACAGGAAAAAATTCTTATTCCTTTAATTAAAGCTGACCAGAAACTAAACCGATTTTGACAGCTTCATGAACCTCAAAAGTGATTTAGATGCTTTTATAAAGGAAGGTACTCTGAAAAGATTTAAATAATGTAACATTCTGTCTTTGAAAGGTCTTCAAAAATATTTTATTAGGCAATAATTTGGCTTCAGTTTACTATCATCATACAATGTATGCTATTAAAATCTAACCATTTTAATTACATTTATTACAAATAAATACCTTTTAGTCTCTATATTTTTTATAACCTCTTTACTGGACACACCTTCCCAGGAAAAACTGGATACCTCTAAAATTAATTTGCACTAATAATCTTTAAAAGGGCAAAATGGCAAAAGGAAATTCTAGATGAAATGTTCAGTAAGCAGGCTTACTTATAATGGACTAGAATCTAAGAAATACACAATCTATATGTCTTCAACTGCTTATCAGGCTCTCTGTCACCTCAATGTAGTATGTTAACATACAACTTTCCACCTCATATCCTCCCTCATGATATATTACACTCCCCTTAACAAAGCAAAATAAAACAGATTCTTCTTGACTCCTTTACTGTCATGTCATCAAGGCATTTGTCATATCATTATCATTTCATCAGTCACTTACATGAGAGACCTCCAAGTTCAGGTTCGTATTAGCTCCTGCCTGGCTTATTTTAATAGACTCCTGATTTCTCTCCCCATTTCTAATCTATCCCCACTTGAATCCAAAGGGCATCAGCCTACCAGCCAATTTAAATACAACTTTAATCACATTACAATTTACTGCAAGAATCTTAGATTAACTCTTATTCTATGAGCAGTGGAAAGCAAACCCTTTATAAAGGCATGCAAAGTCTTCTGCTTTCGTTCAATGTGAGCTCTCTATACAATCAGACTGATCTCACCAACGCCTATTGATAACTTGCTCAAGCTGTCCTCCCATTCTGGCTTCCTAGCTAATGCAAGCTCCTCCCATGCTCAACTGAAAAACTAATAAGGTTTTTCAGGAACCATTACAGCTGTAAATAAGCCCTTTACCTTCAGAATTTTAACAACACTCACATATTGTCTGACCCCTTGATTAGGCACTAAATCATAATGTCTCTTACTGTCAAGCAGTTATACATCTATGATCTAAATTAATTAAATAGAGGTAATTCCCTTATGGTCTTTTATATTAGTTGTACTTCTCATAGCCCCTGACAGACAGCTACAAACCTGGTAAATCCTCAATATTTGGTGAAAAATGAATGAGCTGTACCTTCAGTTTTTGTACAAAGCCAAAGATATTTAAAATTTGCTCTGTACCTCTAAGGCTATTCTCTAACAAAATGAATTCTTATTTTATGTAGGTTCATGTACTGGGGGTCCCCAAGACCACCCTCAGGTTCAGTGATCCATAAGGAGGACTCACAGGGCTCAGCACATAGTCATACCCATGTCTAAGATTTATTATTGTAAAAGGACACAAAGCAGAATCATCTAAGGCAGCGGTTCTCAACCTTCCTAATGCCGCGACCCCTTAATCCAGTTCCTCATGTTGTGGTGACCCCCAACCAGAAAATTATTTTCGTTGCTACTCTATAACTGTGATTTTGCTACTGTTATGAATCGTAATGTAAATATCTTTTTGTTTTCCGATGGTCTTAGGCGACCCCTGTGAAAGGGTCATTTGATCACCAAAGGGGTCACGACCCACAGGTTGAGAACCGCTGATCTAAGGGAACAGGAACACAGGGCAAAGTCCTGAGAAACCCAAGTGCAAGCTTCCAAGAGTCCTCACCCAGTGGAGTCACCCAGAACACACTTCTCCCGTATCATATTATGACAATACATGATGTCTACCAAGGAAGCTTGTTAGAGACACAGTGCATACGGTTGTTTGAAGGGCTGGTCACCTAGGCACTGTGCCTAGCAATGAACAAAATTCCAGACTCCCCGAAAGTATTCACCATATGTCACCCTGTTTGTAGTGTGTTTTCAGGGTGGCACAGTGAGCCACTCTGAAGTTTTATATCAGTGTAGGCAACTGTTGACTATTCAAATTCCCAGATGCCAGCAAAAACACTGGAAGTAGGCCTTTTCTAAGAACAGTGGTCTTGGGCCTGCGATGTTAAATCTTTTCGATGTAGGTCATTTCATATTTTTATGGGATAAATGTTAGTGTTAACTATATGTGACTTATAAGAGACACATAAAGCGATTTTTTAAAATATTAAAATCTAGCATTTAATTAGAGCTGCATTGCCTAGACTGGCCCCCAAGAATGAAAAGTTATGCAATTTTTAAATAATTCACATCCTTTAGGTATTTCAGGTTTTCTTTTTTTCCTTGTAAAATGGGGTATCTTTTTCAAACCAATCTTTCATAGTTGTCAGGATAAGGAATTAAGTATAACATCTAAAGGAAATGAGCCCTCTAGGACAAGCTCCCTGTCTTCTCTTGTGCCAGAGTACTGCAGTAGCTGTTTTAGGTACATCATCTTACTAAAGCCTCATAACAACCAGTGATGGTTTCTATTTTATAGATGTAAGTTTTGAGAGGCTAAGTAATCCACCCAGGTTTACAGGTGAGCTAGGATTTAGGCCCAGATCCACCTCATTCCAAAGCCTTGCTCTTGGTGTATACCAACTACCTCCACCTAATAAGCACAGGCTCTTTATAATGAATCATTTCCCTCCAAACTATATGATATATATAATATTTGCTTGGTTATACAGAGCACTATGACTTTGATCAAAGTCAAGTTTTAGTCGGATGAGAACAGATCAAGTTTATCCCAGGATGCTCTGCTTTTTCCTGTCCAACCCTTGCAAATTACAAATCAAACTATACCCTTTGCTTATTTGCTCCTTTATCTGGCATCAATCTCTTTGAAATTAGACAGACCTGGTATCAGAACATTGGCATTGCACTTATCAGATGTGGGGACCTTGGGAAGGTTGGTTATATTTTTTGAATCTCAGTTTATTGATCTACAAAATGGGAATCCCTACCTCAAAGGTTTGCTGTGAGAATTAAATAAGATAACATATTTAAAGGACCTAGTCTATATATAGTTGCTGAATAAATGATTGCCTGCAACACTGGAATGACTGACTGAGAAGCAAGCCAAATCAATAACCTGAGGGAGAAAGGAGATGGCAGGGAAGTACGCTGGCCACCAGGTGTCACCACTGGCCCAGAAGAGGTGCTATAAGGGCTAAAAGTGGCAAAGGGACCCTGTCGCAAAACAGGATAAGGCTCAGGGTAAGACTGTCACGTGCACCTACAGAACATTCAAGACTTGGCTTTGGCTTTTCAACACCTTAACAGCTGGTACAATATTTGTCACATCATTCTAAATTACATTGTTCTCTTACCAGTGTCAAAAATCATTGCAGTATACACTTCAGTAGTTGGAACTAGTACATTGTTATTGTTCCAAATTATTAGTGCATACTGAATGTGTCTAAAAGGCACTAATGAAACACGGCACTAATTCCGGACTCAAAAAAAAAAAGGATTGTAGTATAATTAATTAGCTGAATAGCTACAGATTTTCCATCGCAGTTTAATTTTAAAAACTATCCTCTGCTGACAGTATTTAAATTCTGAGAATCAACAGTGCTTCATACATATTTGGCTTCAGCCAAATGGACATTACAATTTCTGGTTTCCATAGGTTTCAATATTGCCACTAAGGACAATTTTCTGGCCTTAATTCCATAACCCACTGACATTTTTTCCTATACATTATGAATAGGAATGACAGATAAAAGGAAAGCAGAATATTTTTAGGGTAAAAATAAAGTCTATGAACAGTAAATTTAGGCAAAAGAAGCTGTAACTATTAACCTTTCCCCCTGATCTCAGGAACTTCAAAGTTCATTTTTTAAAATGCTGTGAATTTTCTATTTTCTTAAGGAACACCTACTTTAGGGTAAATCTGTCAACCTACGAATAGTCCTGAAATTACTCAAGGGTCATTACTACTCCCGACTTCATTCTGCAACCTGCCAACGACTCCCCAGGAGTGCCCAGGAGCGCGTCAAAACGAGGGAAGGATCTGGGTTCTCCTGTTTCTAAGTCTTCCACGCTCAGAGCCACTAGGAGCCACTTCAAGATGGGTCATTTAGTGAGTGTTAGCACCGAATTGGAGACGCCGTTTGCTGATGAATCACAGACTGTTGTCCCGTCTGCCAGGGAACACTTGACTCAAGTCAAGCCCGACCAGGCCTACCCCTGGGCTCCCGAGAAACCAACACGGGAGACGGAGTTAGGCTTAGCACGGGCTTCTGTTCAGAGGCGGCGCTCTTGGAACTCAAGCAGTTTGGGTCATTCTTGTTATTGTTTTAACAACAGCCCAAGTTCCACCTTACCCTTCACAAATATGGAAACGTCTTAAGGAGAACCACCAGAGAAGCATCCTCTCCCTTCTGGCCACTGCTCCCATTCCTAGAGAATTTAGGAGGAAGAGCAGATGGCAGGAACCACTTGGAATCAGGAGAGCAGGAGCCCAGCCCAGATAAAACCATTTGCGAAGCACTTAGTGCAGATCAATACGTTCCCGACTGATTTCAGACTGGTCCCTAGAGAAAGGCGCTCACGAGGCGGGTCGCCCTCCCGGAGCAAATGGCCAAGGAAAGAGATGCTGCCTCCAAACCAGCCCCTGCGGGCAGTAGCGGCGGCGCGTTACCTGGGGGATTCGGCGGTGAAGCTGCCGCCGTCCAGCAGCCGCATCTTGCAGAAGAGGACCCCGTTGACGAAGGGCACCGAGGAGAGCTCCTCGAGCTCGAAGTCTACCTTAAACTTAAACTTCTTCTTCTTCATCATCATGAGAGCCAGACGCCGGCGAGCGGGGTGCGGGGGCGGCCCGAAGGGGCGCGCGCACCGCCGCCGCCTCAGCTCGGCCGGGCTCCGGGCCCGCCCAGCCCCATGGCCAGGGCCGCGGGCTGCGCGCAGGGG